ATGTCGCGTATGTTTGTGTGTGTGTTTTCGAAATATGCATGAAAGTAACCATCATAATATATTACATGGGTAATAAATGGTAAGAATGAAATCTCTCTCTCCCTGTATATATATATATATGTGTGTGTGTGTGTTTCATGCAGTTTAACCATATATAATTACTAATATTAATACAATGGATAATAATTAATATGAATGAAATGGTGTCTATATATGTTTCATGCATTTTAACCATAAAATTACGATGCATGAATCATATATAATATATATCATAGATCTTCGTATAACTAAAAATAACAGTTCTCACATTAAAAAAAAGACTTGATTCTCATGTAAATTACATTATATATATATATATATATACAAAAATTTTATGGAGCTATCGGATGACTCCCTTATGGAACCATCCATAACTTTATGTACTGACACATATTCAAAATGTATTTACTGAATGACACATGTCAATATACATCATTTGTAAATAACTATGAATATGACTTCATAAGTTTAGTCATCCGATGACTGCATAGCAAAACTGTATACATATATATCATTATGCATGTGATATTAATCTATATCTATATCTATACTACTTTAAAAGGAGGAGTGTTTTTTGTAAAAATTCATAATGCCTAAAAAACCCTTACTTTGACATAAATTTAATGACAAATTATAATACACTAATACACATCATATTTTATTTATATTTTTAATTAAAAATATGAACTACCTAAAAACCCTTACTTTCACATGTTTTTAATGGCAAATTAGTAATATACTTCATATCTTATATCCTCTCTATATATAACTAAAAAGAAAAAACATCACTTTTTCTCAATTCAACATAAGCAAATCAATGAAAATAATATATTTTTAAAAATTTTATGAACAAAAGTTAACTCGACAATATTATTAATGAATTTATGAATTGTAAATATTTAATTAAAATATTAATTAAAAATTTGTAATTATGTATAATATAATATAGAATATACAAATATTTGATATATAATGAGGCAGATGATCAAAAAAATTCTATACTTTATATTATGTCTTTTTTGAAAAATCTATAGTTAAGAACATGTAAAAGAACAAGATAAAGTTTTAAAAAAAATATTAAATATAAGAAATAATATGAATAATAACTAAGTTGTGACACGTATTAATAAATATAAAACAAACTAATAAACAAAAATAATATAATTAATATAACTAAATATAAACCTTCTAAAAATATACTTATCGATGTAATCGAACTGAGTGGTTAAACGCTTGTTAGTTTTTTGTTCTTATTAATTTTATGTGTAAATTTGAGGTGATAGACAATAGTTATATGTACATTTATACATGTAGATTAGAAAAAAATATCTTTATTATTTTAATTTTAAATAACTTTTTTATTTACTATATTAGTTTTTTTAATATAATATATAAGTATCATATTGAACAGATAAAACAAGAAATATTTTAATTATATAATATTTAATATGTAAAAAATGTAACTCAATTGGTAAATTAATAAGTAATCTTGGGATAAAATAATGAGTGATTTATGAAAAAAATAAAAATTATAGGAACTATAAAGTTCACGTGTTTAATATATTTTTAATAGAAAAATTGTAAACACAATTACTCAATATATACTACATAAAAAATATAAGAAATCTTATATCCTCCCTATATATAATTAAAAAAATAACTTTTCTCAATTCAACATAAGCAAATCAATGAAAAATAATATATTTTTAAAAATTTTATGAACAAAAGTTGACTCGACAATATTATTAATGAATTTATGAATTGTAAATATTTAATTAAAAAATTGTAATTAAATATAATATAATATAAGATATACAAATATTTGATATATAATGAGGCAGATGATCGAAAAAATTCTATACTTTATATTATGCCTTTTTTGATAAATCTACAGTTAAAACATGTGAAAGAACAAGATAAAGTTTTAAAAAATATTAAATATAAGAAATAATATGAATAACAACTAAGTTGTGAGTCTTGTGACACGTACTAATAAATATAAAACAAACTAAAAAACAAAAATAATATAATTAATATAACTAAATATAAACCTTCTAAAAATATACTTATTGATGTAATCGAACTGAGTTGTTAAACGCTTGTTAGTTTTTGTTCTTATTAATTTTATGTGTAAATTTGAGGTGATAGACAATAGTCATTTGTACATTTATACATGTAGATTAGAAAAAAAAATCTTTATTATTCTAATTTTAAATAACTTTTTTATTTACTATATTAGTTTTCTTAATATGATATATAAGTATCATATTGAACAGATAAAACAAGAAATATTTTAATTATATTATTTAATATGTAAGAAATGTAACTCAATTGGTAAATTAATAGGTAGTCTTGGGATAAAATAATGAGTGATTTCTGAAAAAAAAAATTATAGGAACTAAAAAGTTCACGTTTTAAAAATATTTTTGATAGAAAAATTGTAAACACAAGTACTCAATAAATACTACATAAAAATATAAGAAATCTTATATCCTCCCTGTATGTAATTAAAAATCATAACTTTTCTCAAGTCAACATAAGCAAATCAATGAAAATAATATATTTTTAATTTATGAACAAAAGTTGACTCGACAATATTATTAATGAATTTATGAATTGAAAATAATTAATTAAAATATTAATAAAAAATTGTAATTAAATATAATATAATATAGGATATACAAATATTTGATATATAATGAGGCAAATGATCGAAAAAATTCTATTCTTTATATTATGTCTTTTTTGACAAATCTACAGTTAAGAACATGTGAAAGAACAAGATAAAGTTTTAAAAAATATTAAAAATATAAGAAATAATATGAATAATAACTAAGTTGTGACACATAGTAATAAATTTAAAACAAACTAATAAACAAAAATAATATAATTGATATAACTAAATATGAACCTTCTAAAAATATACTTATCTATGTAATTGAACTGAATTGTTAAACGCTTGTTAGTTTTTTGTTCTTATTAATTTTATGTGTAAATTTGAGGTGATAGACAACAGTTATTTGTACATTTATACATGTAGATTAGAAAAAAATCTTTATTATTCTAATTTTAAATAAATTTTTTATTTACTATAATAGTTTTTTAACATAATATATACGTATGATATTGAACAGATAAAACAACAAATATTTTAATTATATAATATTTAATATGTAAGAAATGTAACTCAATTGGTAAATTAATAGGTAATCTTGAGATAAAATAATGAGTGATTTCTGAAAAAAAAAAAATTATAGGAACTAAAAAGTTTACATGTTTAATATATTTTAATAGAAAAATTGTAAACACAATTACTCAATAAATACTACATAAAAAATAATGTTTGAGAGGACTACAAAAATTTTGCTATACTGCAAAGAAAAATTCAACGGTAAGGTATTCTACTGAAAATTTTAAAGAATATGTTGCTTTCATTGGCTATTCCAATAGAGTTCAAATTAAATTACATGAACTTTAGTGGATGTAAAGATTTCAATTACCTGAATTTCTATTGGAATTTATTTTTTGGACCATATTTCAATCGTTGAAAAAAATGTCATTGGTATTATGCAAAAATTCAATAGAAGTTCCATTGGAAAGATAATTGCAGTGATAGATCCAAAATAATTCATATTGGGAGCATTATTTAGTTAATAGGAAAAAATATACCATCAAAATAACATGTCATTACGATTTATAAATTATACTTTATATAATCTATCACCTTTCTCATTTGTAATACATTTTAATAAATCTATGCTATCACAATAAGGTAAAATATATTTAAGAAACCAAAAGTCAAGATTTTTCTAAAATCAACATAAGAAAATCGTTATATTTGTTGTATTTTATATTGGAATTTTCTCATTTTCTTGTAGTAAAACTAAGACTCCAAATCTATAAAAAAATGCATTATATATAATATTGTGTGCAGCTATTATTATGAAAATTTTTGATACGATAAAAAATATAACACATTCAATGTAATTGGCGTTCAATTTATGATAAGAATTAATTTTTTTCAAAGCAAACAAGATACTTTGAAAGGTCCTTAATTATTTTATTAGTATTGTAATAACTAAATAAGAGGTAAGAAAGATGACAAAACTTATAACTCTCATTAAATCCAAAAGTAAAAATGTTGATAAAATTACTTAATGTACAATATCAATTGAAGCTGGCTAATGATAAATATAAAACATACTTAAGATACACATATATTTTAATTAGAACTTTTAAGTACATAATATATATATATATATTCATATGTATATTTCTTTAAAAGTGGGTATGTTAATCTTAATATTTTTTTAGTTAAGAATTTTATTACTTTCTATCATTAAATTTTTTAATTTTCTTTTTTTTTTGGCCGAAACGATAGAGATAGTATAAATAAAACGCACAACTGTGCAAAGCAGCCCAAGGCTGAATATTACAACCCAGAACTAAAAACTGAGAGGACGGATCGGAAGACCGCCTAGAGCCTCGCTAGCCAAGCTAGAATAGAAAACACACAACACACAAAACAAAACACAGACACACCAACTACGAGCGCTCCCCACAGGAGAATTGAAACGCCCCTCACAGGGGAATCAGAACTGGGGCCAACAGCCCAAACCTAAAAAACAAGACCGAAAATAAAACAAACACAGACTCAAGACAAAACAACAACAAATCAGACACAAACGAACAAAAATCCTAAAAACATAAAACATAAACAACCCTTCCCCAGCGAAAAGAGCAAGCTCGAACCAGCAGTGAACGATCAACACAAGACAAATCCAGGCCAAGAACCTGCTACCGAAACTGCAATCAAGCCTATACAATAGCAGAAACCTAACACCGAACCAGTCCCCGAATTGACCCATCGCAACCGAGA